TACTCACCACCACTTAGGAGAAACCAATCGTTTTTGTAAAATAAAACCGATTACACCAATGTAGATTGTTTTGCTATAAAATACTGGGCACAGAGACGAGGCGAACCCCTCCACCTTCGACAGAAAATGAATTCAATACACTCAACTGCTTAAAAAGCTGACTGATTTTACCGGATATTGAAAGGTGTCACGCGGGGGTTGACGGAGCCCACCCGGATGGTGAGGAACTGGGCCGGCATATTCGAGTCGGGCAAGAGTTCGTGCTGTCTCGAATCCACCACTGTGAGGTCGATGTCTTGCTGCTGGGCGACACGCAAGGAGTACGTGGTCACTTTCATGATCCAGGTGTCCGTCACGATCACGCGCGCCCCGGGGGCCCCGGTGGCAAACTTGTCGATCCTCCTGAATTCTGTGTTGATGGAAGATGCGACGGCCCTCCAGCCGGACTGGGGGAGCGCGTAAAAGGAAATCGTCCTGACCAAGGGGTGGTTACTCCAGTCGTTTCGGGACCAGTGATACGCCAGGAGGCCGGCAGCCGCTGGAGCGAGAATGGCCAATAGGAAGAAGACCCGCCAAGCGTCAGGGGCCTGGTAAAAACTGCACAGCTGTTTCTCAGGTGTGGCAAAGCACATGCCAGTATAGTAGCCTGCAAAAAAAAGGGGGGGGGGAGAAAGGAACTTTCAGCAGAGAAAGCAACTCCTTGACCTGCACACTTGTATAGACTCAGGTGCATAACAACAGTCTTGCCCAGGAGACCCCAACGTAGAGCCCGTGGGCGCCCCAGTGTTCCCTCTAAGCTGAGTTGGTGTGAGCCAGCTCACAGTTTCTTAGCCTCTGGCTCACACATTTTCGCCTTAGCTCAGGAAGGAGGGCTCCAGAGCAAACTAATTCATGCGGCAGAGCCAAATCGCTGGCTCACAACCAGTGTTCCCTCTAAGCTGAGTTGGTGTGAGCCAGCTCACAGTTTCTTAGCCTCCGGCTCACACATTTTCCCCTTAGCTCAGGAAGGAGGGCTCCAGAGCAAACTAATTCATGCAGCAGAGCCAAATCGCTGGCTCACAACCAGTGTTCCCTCTAAGCTGAGTTAGCGTGAGCCAGCTCACAGTGTTTTAGCCTCCGGCTCACACGTTTTTGTCTTGGCTCGGGAAGGATGCCGTGGCCAAATCGCTCGCTCACAACTTTAATGCCAAAATCTCACAAAGCTGAATTTTTGCTCACAAGACTCCACAGCTTAGAGGTAGCATCGGAGGGGAGTGGGCGATTGTGGCTTTGGAACGGCGGGACAACCTTGTGTGCAGCCGTCAAGCAGCGTGGGAGACCGTCCTCCCAGCGCGGCACCCCTGGCTCTCCGGTCTGCCCGTGTGGGTTTTCCTTGGCAGCCCCCCTCCCCCCCCAGCCCAGGGGGCCTTGCAGCGAGGGCACAACAACTTGGAGTTTGCCAGCTGCTGTCCTTTATACAGTTTGGGTGTCGTGGTGAAGTGCGCGGACTCTAATCTGGGAGAACCGGGTTTGATTCCCCACTCCTCCTCCCCTTGCACCTGGCTGGATGACCTTGGGCAAGCCGTAGTTCTGATAAGAGCTGTCCTTGAAAAAGAGCAG